CCGGGATCTCCAGCCGCCTCTGCATCTCACGCAGGCCCAATCGGCTAGGCCCGCCCCGCTCCCTCCCCACAGACCCGACTCGGCGCCCTCGGCCCCCTCCCTCAAAGGCCCGAGTCTCCCTCCGCCAGCCCCAAGCTCAACCGACCCCCTCCCCGCCTCAGCGCCGACCCGGACCCCTCTTCCGGTCCAGTAGGCTCCGGCCGCGCGCCCCCGTTACCGGGAATATGGCGGCGGCGGCGGCGAGTCCAGACTAGGCCCGAAGCGCGCGAACCGCTCTCCGCCCCAGGTCCCGCCCCCCCCGCCTCTGGCGTCACACGCACGGCCACTTCCGCTATACGCAAGGACGCATCTTCCGGCTCGGGTCCTCCGGGGTGGACGAGAAGTTCCCGGAAGTCGCTAGACCGCAAGCTTCCGGTACAGGTAGGGAAAAATGGCGATGGCCGCAGTGTTCCCGACTCTGTCGCGGGTGAGGAGAGCGGAGATTCTAATGTCCCGGGCGGGCAGCATTGGGCACTGAGTTTCGTCTTTCTCTGTGACCTTGGAGGCCATAGGGAGCCTTTAACTGCCTCATAGTACAGGGCGAGGGCAAACTCAAGGTGAGGCCGACCCTGCAGCTCAGCAGATTGAAGTTGCTTCCATGCTTTCGTGAGCCCACTATGTGCCCGTCTGGTAGTATCTGGTTGAACGGTCAGTCATCATGCGAGACCCAATTCAGGTCTAACCTAAGTCCCAGGCGGAGTTAGCCAACCGTCTCTGGGCACCCCTCCCTGTTGTCTTCTTTAATGTCTTTCATGATTTGAAATAGCATCTTGAGCTCTTCTTTTCTAACGGAGCTGTTCAGCAGTATAAACTCACCCCCCCAGTACTGCTTTTGTTGTATCTCATTTTATTTTATTATTATTTTTTCCTTTTTGTCTTTTTTACTGACCGGTAACGGGATCGCAACCCTCGGTGTCGCGCCCGTACCGGGGACCGGCAACGGGATCGCAACCCTCGGTGTTGCGCCCGCACCGCGCTCAGCCAGAGAGCGGGAACCGGTCTCTATATGGGATCCGAACCCTCGGCGGGAGCGCCACTGCGCTCCCAAGCAGCGCACTCTCCAGTGCGCCACCAGGCCGGCCCCTGTATCTCATTTTATATGTTAGGTTTTAGTTTTGTTAGTCTCAAGATATTTTCTAATTTCCCTTTTGATTATTTCTTTGAGCCATTAGTTCAAGAGTGTGTTGTTTAGTTTCCATATTCTAGTTTTATTCCATTATTGGAAAAGATACTTGGTAAGATTTCAGTCTTATTAAAGTCTTGTTTTGTGATGTAACATGTGGTCTGTCCTGGAAAATGTATGCCTTTGATACGAATGTGTACTTTGCTGCTGTTGGAGGGAATGTTCTGTATATGTTTGTTAAGTTCATTTGGTCTGGTGGTGTTCAAGTCCTCTGTTTCCTTACTGATCTGCTGACTACATGTCCTATTCATTATTGAAAGTAGGTATTAAAATCTCCTACTAGTAAGGGCCAGCCCTGGCTCACTTGGGAGAGTGTGGAGCTGATAACACCAAGGCCACAGGTTCGGATCCCTATACAGGGATGGCCGGTTCGCTCACTTGGGAGAGCGTGGTGCTGACAACACCAAGTCAAGGGTTAAGATCCCCTTACGGGTCATCTTTTAAAAAAAAAAATCTCCTACTAGTATGGTGTTGCTGTCTCTTTCTCACTTCAGTTCTTTTTTCCCACCTTTTCTGCTTCATGTATTTGTATGCTATGATGCATATCTATTTATAATTGTTATTATATCTTTCAGCGAATTGACCCTTTATCATTATATAATATTCTTTGTGTCTTGTGACAGTTTTTGACTTGACGTCTATTTTGTCAGATTTAAGAGTGGCTATCTCTTTTTGTTACCATTTGCATGGAATGTCATTTTACATCCTTTCACTTAGAGCATATGTGTGTCCTGAGTCTAAAGTGAGTCTCTTGTAGACAGCATGTGAATTCAGTTTTGTTTTTATCCATCTAGCCACTGTATGCCCTTTTTTTTCTTTCTTTCTTTCTTTTTTTTTTTTTGGCTACTGTCCAGTAAGGGGATCCAAAACACTATATCTTTTGATTGGGGACTTTAATCCATTTGCATTTAAAGTACTGATAATAAAGGACCTACTACTGTTGCCATTTTTTTAATTATTTCCTGTCCATCTTGTAGCTTTTTTTGTCCCTCTTTTCCTCTCTTGCTGTTATCCTTTGTGTTTCATTGATTTGTTTTTAGTGATATGCTTTGATTTGTTTCTCATTTTCTTTTGTGTGTCTTCTACATATACTTTCTTTGTGATTACCATGGGGCTTACATAAAACACCTTATAATTATAACAATCACATACAAAAACTGCTCTTTTAAGTTATTGATGTCACAAATTACATCCTTTTATATTATTTATCCATTAACAAATTTTTATTGTTTTTATACTTTTGTCTTTAACTTCTAGACCAAAATTAAAAGTGATTTACACACCACTGATTACAGTATTACAGTATTCTATATTTGTCTATATATTTACCTTTACCAACAAGATTTATATTTTTATATGCTTTCTTGTTGCTAGCATCCTTTAATTTCTGCTTGAAGGTCTTCCTTTACTATTTCTTGTAAGGCAGGTCTAGTGGTGGTGAACTACCTAGCTTTTGTTTATTTGGGAAAGGTATTAATTCTCCCACATTACTGAAGGTCAGTTTTGCCAGATATGGTATATTTGGTTGGCAGTTTTTTCTTTCATAATTTTGAGTAATTTCATGCCGCTTCTTCCCTGCAAGTTTTCTTCTGAGAAATCTTCTCATGGGGGTTACTTTGTATGTGATGAGTTACTTTCAAAATTGCTGCTTTCAAAATTCTCTCTTTGTCTTTGACTTTTGACAATTTCTCTTTGGAAAAATAATTACTTTTAATTAATAAAGGATATAAACATGAACCAGAGAAGCATAAAATTATTTTTTAATGCAGCTCATATCCAGTGTCACAAAATTCCTTTGGACTTATGGATCCATGCTGCACCCAGTATTGTTTCATTTTTGTAATGCTTTCTTGATACTAACAGAAAAAAAATGGATGAAATTTGGCCAGTAAAATAAGAGATCCCAATTATTAGAACAGTTTCTGTATACTGATGATGATGGTCCTTCCTGTCATCTTTCAGTTCTGTAGACATTACTAAGCCAAGTTATTTTAGCGCAGAAAGTAGGAATCCCTACTATCAGTGTGCAGCAGAATCTCCAAGAGGGAGCTTGTTAAAAATACATTTGCCAGAGCCCAATCCTAGAGACTCTTTTTTTTTTTTTTCCTTTTTGTCTTTTTTCGTGGCCGGCAATGGATCGCAACCCTCAGTGTCGCGCCCGTACCGGACTGGGACCGGCAATGGGATCGCAACCCTCGGTGTTGCGCCCGCACCTTGCTCAGCCAGTGAGCGGCCAGTCTGTATGTGGGATCCGAACCCTCAGCGGGAGCGCCGCCGCGCTCCCAAGTGGCTCACTGTAGCAGTGCGCCACCGGGCCGGCCCCCCAATCCTAGAGACTCTGATCCAGAATGTTTTGGGTGGGACTTCAAAATCTGAGTTTTCATTTCTAAGGCTGCAATACATAACAAAATACCACAGACTGAGTGGCTTAAACAATAAAAATTTATTTTCTCACAGTTCTGGAGGATAGATGTCTAAGATCAAGGTCTTAGCAGGTTTGATTTCTCCTGAGGCCTCTCTCCTTGGCTTGCAGATGGCCACCTTTGCACTGTGTTCTCATATGACTTTTATGTGTGCACATCCCTGGTGGCTCTTTTCTAACTTCACAATTTGATTATGTATCTAAGTGTGGACTTCTTTGGGATTATGCTAGTTGGGGTCTGTTGGGTTTCTTGAATCTGGTTTTATGTTTCCCCAAATTTAGGAAGTTTTCAGCTACTTTTTTTTTTTTTTGGTGGCTTGCCAGTATGAGGATCCAAACCCTTGATCAACACCATGCTCTAGCCAACTCAGCCACTATTTTTTCAAATAAGCTTTCTTCCTCTTTCTCTCTGTCTCACTCTCTCCTCCTCTGGGACTTCCATAATGCATATATTTATTCATTCATATTTGTCCTTTTGATGGTATCCCAAAGTCCCTTAGTTGTTTTTTTTTTTTACTTGTTTTTATTACTTTTTTTAATGCTCCTCTGTTTGGACAATTTCAAATACTCTATCTTTTTTTTTCAGAGATGACTGGTAAGGGGCTCTTAACCCTTGACTTGGTGGTGTCAGCACCACGCTCTCCCAAGTGAGCTAACTGGCCATCCCTATATAGGGATCCGAACCCATGGCCTTGGTGTTATCAGCACCACACTCTCCCGAGTGAGCCACGGCTGGCCCACAAATACTCTGTCTTTGAGTTCACTGATTCTTTCTTCTGCTTGATCAAGGCACTGTTGGATCCCTCTGGTGAATTTTTCAATTCAGTTATTGTGTTCTTCAGTTCAAAAATGTGTTTGGTTCTTTTTTTTTTTTTTTTAAAGATGACCAGTAAGGGGATCTTAACACTTGACTTGGTGTTGTCAGCACCATGCTCTGCCGAGTGAGCCACAGGCCAGCCCTGTTTGGTTCTTTTTAAAAAATATTTTCTATTTGGTGATACTCTAATTTGTCCAAGCATCATTTTCCTGAGCTCATTGAACATCTTTATGATGGTTATTTTGAATTCTTTGTCAGGTGATTCATATATCTCTGTTTCTTTAGGGTTAGTTTCTGGAGATTTATTTTGTTCCTTTGTTTGGGCCGTGTTTCCCTATTTGTGTCCTTTGAAACTTTGTGTTGGGATCTGTGCATCTGAAAAAGATCCATCTTTCCTAGTCTTTATGGATGGCTTTGTATTGGTGATTGACCTTCACCAGTCTCTCTGGTTAGAGATTCTGAGAGCTTCTCAATCTATTCTAAGGGTGTGTCTCCTTTGGACTTATGGATGTAAATTCCTAATTAGTGGGAGATTTGCCAGTTTCCTTTCTCTAGAAGCTTATTATCTCTTACTCCTTCTGGTGTCTGTCTGTGATATGGCAGTTTCTATGGAGCTGCTGCAAGTCTCCCAGATCCCTTATTCTCAGTGGCCCCTAGACTTCTAGGGTTTACCAGGTCTTGTCAGTGCTCCAAGTTGGGTAAGACAGAAGCCAGTCCCTTAGGCATCTACCCCAAAGGCCGGAACATTGTACACACACTCTACTTTTCCCTTATCTCTCTCTGCCCCAGGGGAGGCCACAGAGCCATATGGACCTTTCTCTGCAGTTTCAGGAGTCCTCTGGATCAGTAGCACGCTGCCCAGCTCTCTTTTATTCTCAGTGGCCCCCAGGCATCTAGAGTATGCTAGGTTCTGTTGAGTGCTCCTAGACAGGTGAGACAGAAACCAGTCCCATGGACAGTCCCCTGAAAAGCTGGAACATTGGATGCACACTTTAATTCTTTCCTTCCTCAGGGAGAAGCTGGGAGGTAGGGGTTTTCTCCTGTTGTTTTCACTGAGCCGGGGGGCCGCCTTGGCCGTACAGCAGGGGGGGGACTGTGATGAGCGAGTGCTTGCTAATCCAAACCATCACCTTTGTTCTCCATGGCCCCCAACCTGGTGGCCTTTCCTGTTGGAACTTAGATTCAGACAACACAGAAACCGGCCCCTTGGTTAACCCCCCAGAAAATCTGAGCACTGGATGTATGTTTCAATCTTATTTTTCCCTTCCCAGGTAGTTGCCAGGACCTGGGAGTTTTTTTGTTTGTTTGTTTGTTTCCTTTTTGTCTTTTTTCGTGTCCGGCAATGGATCGCAACCCTCAGTGTCGCGCCCGTACCGGACCGGGACCGGCAACGGAATCGCAACCTTTGGTGCTGCGCCCGCACCTCGCTCAGCCAGTGAGCGGGAACTGGTCTGTATGTGGGATCCGAACCCTCGGCGGGAGCGCCGCAGCACTCCCAAGCGGCGCACTGTAGCAGTGCGCCACCGGGCCGGCCCCAGGACCTGGGAGTTTTCTTGTGGTTGTGCCATTCTGAGCTGAGGGAGGGACTGTGTCAAGAGATGTTGCAGGTTTTCCTGCTGGCTTCAATGCAGCTGGTTTTACAACCACCTGGGGTGCAGGAGCCTCTAACTGGTTTCTAGATTTCTTACAAAGGGAATTGGTCTGTGTATTGTTGAGTCCGTGTTTCCTTCAGGGAAAGGAGGATCTGGGGCTTCCTATTCCACCATCTTGCTGACATCATCACCTTCACATCATATCTTGATAGTTTATGCTCTTCTCCAGACTGGGAACTTTGGTGGATTAGGGAACTTTGGTGGATAAATCTCTCTATCCTCAGGGTTTAACACAGACAAGTGACTAGAATACAAACCATACTGTAAGAATTTTAAGTGAATGCAAAGGAAGGAGCAAATATTTCTGCTGGGATAATTTCTGGAAAGGCATGACTAAAGAACATATCATATTTGTAGTTAGGACTGGGTCCATCCTAACTACAATTACTATTTGAATGGTCTTGGGTAAGCTATTTAATTTCTCTGAGGCTTGGTTTCCCTAGCTGTAAAGTGGGGACAGTATCAGCATAACTTTTTAAAATGAGATTGAATGTATTTAGTACCTACTTAACACTGAATAAATGATAGTGATTGTAGTCATAATTATAAACATTTGTGGTTTGTTTCAGATGCTTGCTCTGTCAAGGCGCAACCTATTATCTCCTTTGCTTGGCGTGACATCATTCAGACGCTCCTATAGAGGTGACAGCCCAGCAGATTCACAAAATGACGTGATTGAAATCCCTTTGCCCCCATGGCAGGAAAGAACTGATGAATCCATAGAAACCAAAAGAGCCCGCCTACTCTATGAGAGCAGAAAGAGAGGAATGTTGGAAAACTGCATCCTCCTTAGGTAGGGGAATAGAAGTCTTGGTGTCACTTCTCTTTGACTATAAACAGCCTTTTCAGCCTCTCTCTTTCTCATTTTTAGCCTCTTTGCTAAAGAACATCTGCACCACATGACAGAGAAGCAGCTGAACCTCTATGATCGCCTGATTAATGAGCCTAGTAATGACTGGGATATTTACTACTGGGCCACAGGTACTGGGTGTGATAAGCACCATAATGTGAAAATAGGATGAATTAGGCTGATTCGAGTCTGTAATTATATCCTAAGCAATATTTTTTTTTTTATTCATGAAATAGACACTCAACCCAAACACTTTTCAAATTTTTCCACAGTGTGAAAAATTTGTCTTATCAGTTAAGTTTCTTTGTTTGAAAAACAGAATAGAAACTTATCTATCTCCCTTAAGAAAAAAGGGAATTCAAGGGCAGGCCCGTGGCTCACTCGGGAGAGTGTGGTGTTGAGAACAACAAGGCCCCAGGTTCGGATCCTATATAGGGATGGCCGGTTAGCTCACTGGTTGAGCATGGTGCTGACAACACCAAGCCAAGGGTTAAGATCCCCTTACTGGTCATCTTTAAAAAAAAGAAAAAAGAATTCAATGGAAGGGTATGTGAAGCTCACAGTATCAGAGAGAAGGTTGAAAAAGAACCAGGCCGGGAATGGAGTGGAACTAGGCAGCTCTATAAGTCTGCATAGCAAGAGCTCCTCCGTAGTCTCACTCAGGTGCTACCTATGCAAGGAATGAATTCTGTGTATAATTAGGGTTAGCCTTGGCTATGAATTAAAAAAAAATCCAAAACAATAATGGCTTAAACAAGATAGAATTGTTTTTCTCATGACAGAAGTCCAGAGGTAGGCACTCCAGAATTCATAAAGGGGCAGTAAAAAGTCATGGGGCCCATGTTCCTCCTGACTTGGCTGCTCCTTCATTCTCAGCATGTGTTTTTTCTGCCTCATGATCCGAGATGGCTGCTGAAGCTCCATCTGACATCTCCATGTTCCAGCCATGAAAAAAGTGTGTAGAAGAGCATACCCCCTTCAGGGATCCTTTTCAGGAAATTATACATCATAGTTTCTCTTATTTTCCATTTGCCACAGCTTAGTTACATGGCTATATCTAGCCATAAGGAAGAAATAAATATAATCTATTGCATGTGCCCAGCTACATTGGGGGTTTTATTATCAATGAAAAGTGGAGAATGGACATTAAGGGGACATCTTATCCATTTCTGCCACACTCTGGGTCTCCTGTTTTTGTGTGTCTACTCTATATTTATATCAGAAAATAGAAGCCACTGTATAGTTTCCAAGTATAAAGAATGATAATACACAGTCTAGAGGCTTATACAACCATTGGAAAGCCCATAAAGTCTAATATTTACTATATGGCAAGAACAAGTTTGCCCCTGACTTAGCATAATGCATTTGAGATTCATCCATATTGTTATTTGTGTCAATAGTTTATTCTTTTGTATTGTTGAATAATATCCCATTGAGTGGATGCACCATAGTTTGTTTATCCGTTGACCAGTTGAGGGACATTAGGATTGTTTCCAGTTTTACGTGATTATGAATAAAGCTGCTATACACGTTTGCGTGTTTTTGTGAATATAGGTTTTAGGTTTCTCGGGTAAATACCCAGGAGAAGGAATTTCTGGATCCGGTGGTAAGTGTATGTTTAACTTTATAACAAGCTTTTCTATAATGTGCCAGGTGGTAAATATTTTAGGCTTTCCAGGCCATACGGTCTCTGTCATAACCACTCAACTATGCCTTTGTGGCATGAAAGCAGCCATAGACAATAGATACACAAATGACTGTGACTATGTTCCAAGAAAACTGTATGGACATAACTGAAATTTGAATTTCATATAGTTTTTTTTTTTTTTTAATTTTCTTTTGTCGATATACAATGTGGTTGATTATTGTGGCTCATTACCAAAACCTCCCTCCCTCCTCCCTCTCCCCCTTCCCACCCAACAATATCCTTTCTGTATGCTTGTCATGTCAACTTCAAGGAATTGTAATTGTTGTGTCTTCTCCCCCCCCCCCGGTTTTGTGTGCGTGTGTGTGTGTGAATTATTTATTTACTTTTAGCTCCCACCAATAAGTGAGAACATGTGGTATTTCTCTTTCTCTGCCTGACTTGTTTCACTTAACATAATTCTCTCTAGGTCCATCCATGTCGATGCAAATGGCAGTATTTCATTCTTTTTTATAGCTGAGTAATATTCCATTGTGTAGATATACCGTACTTCCCATATCCACCCATCTGATGATGGACATTTGGTCTAGTTCCAACTCTTACCTATTGTAAAGAGTGTTGCGATTAACATTGGGGAACAGATATACCTTCGACTTGATGATTTCCATTGCTCTGGGTATATTCCCAGCAGTGGGATGGCTGGGTCATATGGTAGATCTATCTGCAATTGTTTGAGGAACCTCCATACCATTTTCCATAGAGGCTGCACCATTTTGCAGTCCCACCAACAATGTATGAGAGTTCCTTTTTCTCCGCAACCTTGCCAGCATTTACTGTTCAGAGTCTTTTGGATTTTAGCCATCCTTACTGGGGTGAGATGGTATCACAGTGTGGTTTTTTTGTTTGTTTGTTTTGTTTTTAAAAAGATGACCGGTAAGGGGATTTTAACCCTTGACTTGGTGTTGACAGCACCACGCTCAGCCAGTGAGCTAACTGGCCATCCCTATATGGGATCTGAACCCGTGGCCTTGGTGTTATCAGCACCACACTCTCCGGAGTGAACCACGGGCCCGCCCCTCAGTGTGGTTTTGATTTGCATTTCCCGAATGCTGAGTTATGTTGAGCATTTTTTCATGTGTCTGTTGGCCATTTGTATATGTTCCTTAGAGAAATGCCTATTTAGCTCTTTCACCCATTTTTGAATTGGGTTGCTTCTTTTTTTCTTGTAAAGTTGTTTGAGTTCCTTGTATATTCTAGATATTAATCCTTTGTCAGATGTATATTGTGCAAATATTTTCTCCCACTCTGTTGGTTGTCTTTTAACTCTGTTAATTGTTTCTTTTGCTGTGCAGAAGCTCTTTAGTTTGATATAATCCCATTTGTTTATTTTTCCTTTGGTTGCCCTGCTTTTGGGGTCGTATTCATGAAGTCTGTGTCCAGTCCTACTTCCTGAAGTGTTTCTCCTATGTTTTCTTTAAGAAGTTTTATTGTTTCAGGGAGTGTATTTAGTTCTTTAATCCATTTTGAGTTGATTTTAGTATATGGTGAGAGGTATGGGTCTAGTTTCATTCTCCTGCATATTGATATCCAGTTATCCCAGCACCATTTGCTAAAGAGGCAGTCTCATCCCCAGTGTATAGACTTACTGCCTTTGTCAAAGATCAGATGGCTGTATGTGTGTGGATTGATTTCTGGATTCTCTATTCTATTCCATTGATCAGTGTGTCTGTTTTTATGCCAGTACCATACTGTTTTGGTTATTATAGCTTTGTAGTATAGTTTAAAGTCAGGTAGAGTAATACCTCCAGCTTTATTTTTTTTGCTCAGCATTGCTTTGGTTATGCGGCTTCTTTTGTTATTCCATATAAATGTCTGGATAGTCTTTTCAATTTCTGAGAAAAT